TTCCTTCAATTCAAAAGCTCTGCTCTAGCAACAAGATGACTTTTCCACGAAGGCAATGTACCTACACTTTCTAAGTAAACCCAACAATCTTGACCCTCGATATCAACGGCTTCTTCATTATTTGTCAAGTTTTAGTTAAAGCAACTTTTTTGTTTATGTTTTTGTTTCTATTTTCAATATTATGAATTCAATTAGCTCGCGTTGATCTTGTTTACTGTTTTTTCTTCTCCTCACTTTTTGAAAAATCTAGATTATCGATTTCGTGATTCCAACAAAGGACAGCACTCCCTTGGCTGCGTACAAGCAATGGAGAGAATGGGCTGATCCTAAGGTAACGGCTTTTCTCTTTTTTTTGTCTTTTTTCTACTCCTCCGAGTTTTACTTCCTACTGATTTTGAAATCAGACTCAATTTCTGTACCGCAAAAAAAAAGCAGCGAAAAAAAAAACCTTCTCACTTTTCCTCTCCCAGTTACGTTTTCTGCTTCTTGTCCGAATTTATGTAGAGCCCGAACTCTGCCTACTGGTCGCCTTTTTTTCTTGCCTTTTCTTCAGGTCTTATCAAACTTCTATCTAATAGTTATGCGCTCTATTGATATGCACTAAAAAGTGAGACTGAATAACTATAATAATAACAAGTAATCAAATAACTGCCGATGGATAAAAATGAATTTCACTAAAGTCATTACATTTGAGTATGCAGGTGTGTTGCGATTATGGCTTATCGATGGCAATTACCAGTTGGAATAAAGAAATTGAAAGGCAAATGGAAGAAGTGGTGAAGCCAGAATACGGTACATAACATTTATATGCTAATTTTGTAAAAGGGGTTGATCTTGAGGCGTTGAGGTGAAACTAGCTTCAGAGGGAGCTATATAAATAGCTCTTTTACAGGGATAAATTCGTTCAAATTCTTTCTGGCTTATTCGGGCTTGTTTATGGTACGCGATGAAGAGTTCTTCCAAGGTATTTACATTTTGGCATGGATTTATTTGTATTTTTATTACTCTAACTATTTTTATTTAAATCGTACTTCTTTAAAACCGCCTCTTTGGTTTTGCGAACCATTTATCTATTATTTCTCTCTATTTCCTACAGTAACCTAAGCCGGAAAAGTGGTCAGATTGGGCTCATAGACAAAGGCAGCGACGCGACCGCTCGCGTCTGAGCCTATCCCCATCTATTGCCGGTGCATCTAATTTCTATCGGAAAATCATGAACCCAGTTCTTCGTTTCAGGTATGCTTGCCTGCTCCAGACTCGGGGCCCTAGCTCGTGTTCACGCTGAAAATGGATCGGTAATTGAAGAGAAATGTAAAATGCTGCTCAGCCAAGGAGTCACTGGCCCAGAAGGTCACACACAGAGTCGGCCGGAAGAGGTCTGTGTTTTCATGAACATCAGGCAATGGCTTACTCTTGATCATCATACCCTCCAAGTTTGGCGTGGATTAGATTGGTCTCTGCCAATCTAATCCCGGTATGGCGTGCTGTAGATTATTCTGATTTCTGCCATCTATTAGCTCGATCAGCCAT